CTGGAGTAACATAGGGCTGTGGAGAGAACCTTGCTGGTTTGCCGTAAGCGAAACCTTGATGATGAGGGTAAGGGGATGCTGAATGCTGATACAGTGGCCTGATGTTGAAACGTGGGTGCAATGTACCTCCATAGATGGGTGTCTCTGGTGTCTTGGGTGGAGTTGAATGGTCACTGTGCTCCAGGTCAGGACTGGCCTCATTTACGGGAGAGAGGCTGGAGCGGAAAGGGACTGGTGTCTGCGAGGCCTGTGAGGCAGCTTTTTTCTTGGCAGTTTTCTTAAGTATTTTCTGCAGCCGGACATTTTCCTTTCCAGGTTTAGGGAGCAGAGGCGGTGGGTACTGCTGGGAAAGCAGGCCTGCTTGGGCAACACTGCCAATATTTACAGCCATGGAAATGTCGGCCCCCTAAAACGAACAGGCAAAGCATATTAGCATATGCTCCATACTGGTCTGAAATCAGAAATCTGAAAGCATATTTTAAAAAACAGGACATATTTTAGAAAATGTGAAAAGCCTCATTAGAAACACTGTATGGTGAAAAGCTCTGGAATTAATATTTTACATTTCCTCCTTTTTTAGGGGACCTGTGCCACAGTGACCTGTAAGGCGCTGCTTCATGCTAACATATGTTTATTTGGATGCTTTACTGACAGGTATCAAATTCACATGCATAAATGCAACAGACAAGCAGCACATTTTGGTTTGGAAGCAATGATTGTTTTATCATATGAATCGCATATGTAATTGTATTAGTATGTCATAAAGCACATGATGGTTATTTCACTTTTTCTCACTTGTCTTTGTTTAATTTTATTCTGCTATGTTTTTCAGACCACTACATCAGATTACAAAGCATTTTTTTTTTGTTTGGTTGTTTTATCTTGTTTAATCTTGTTTTATCTGTCTCATTATTTGTAATGATTCAATGATTCAAATTAGATTATTCAAAACTGAAAAATCTGTTGCAAAGCCTTTGTCATGCTGATGTAAATAGGATGTCAGAAATAAAAAGATCTTTGTAATTTTTTGAGCTGGTCCAGATCCCAAAGCTACAGTTAGACTAAGGTTTAGAGTACAACACATTCAGCCATTGTATATCTGATTCAGAGAGCATAATAGGGCTGTTCAATTAGCTTTTTAAATACACCCGTAAAAGAATACCAATTAGCTAACAAAGTGCAGTTATAATTACAAGCTCTCTGACAAAAAAGCAGACACAACACTGGAGTTAGTCCATCTCACCATTTATGATATTTATGGTAAACATCTATGAGTGATGAGCATATTTTGAGCCACCGGCCTACACAAGCTAGAGAAAATCATAACATGGTTACATTTTCCTTTAAAATATATATATTTTGAGTGTTTTAATCGAAGGTCTTTTCTGTTGTACTGGTCTTTGTTTAATAAATTTTACATTTTTATTATGAAAACCCTGTTTGCTGTTGTTATTACTGTACAATACTATAGACTAACCTTTCAGTTATTTCGGAGGCAAATTTTGTCTGGCAATGCATAATGAGGTCCTTCAGTTCAGTGTGAGTTCAGTTTAACCTCAAGTCCATAACTCATTTATGGTGATTATTCCAAGCAGCTGTCTTGTGTAATAGTAGTTGGGGTAAACGAAAGAGCCCAGTAAAGTTTATGGCACCTCTCTTTGCAGTGAGCCAAATCAATTTTAATGCTGGATATCTTCTTGGCCTAATTTTAGGCTGAAAGCAAATGCAAGACAGACACACCTGCTCCTAGTTTTATTTATTTTGGGTCCTCGTTTTCATCTCACTATAAATTAATACCCCAGTGCTTATAGTGTGGAATAGTTGCAGATCAGACCACAGGACACTTTGAACCTGAGAGTGTGTCAATTATAATGTAAATCATATACAGTTTGCAAATAATAGAATTTAAAACTATTCACATAAGGCCATCGCTGCAATTCATTCTGTACACTGTCAGAAAAATGGATACTGGACAGGTATAGAGTTTTGTCCTCTAAGGTACAAACAACGTAAATGTATCCCTAAAGGTACAACATGGCCTGTAAGGTCCAATTGTGAACCTTAAATGAATTGTAAAGGTACACTACATCAGGTTCCCAGGGGAAAGAGGCATATTTGTACCTTTTCTGATCTTATCCTTTTTAAATAGTAAAATAAAATATAAGCCTGAGGTCAAGACGGCTCTGCGTGACGTCAACTTAAAAACAAGTTGCAATGGAATACGACACATATATCCCTAACTAAAGGTACTGAAGATGTGCCCCAATGACCGTATTTGTACTCGAAAAGTTAGAGTTTCTGAGAGTGTATAGAATTAAAGGACATGTTGATTTGCTATTAAACTGGAATCCTGCACAGGCTGAGTGCTGACAAAGAGATTAAATGGATTTGAATTTGATTTGTGCTATTTCCTGAAAAAGAATAAAAAAGCATAAAACAAGAAGCTTTAGATACCAAAAAAGTGTTTCTCATTTAATGTACTTGCTCATTTCTTAATATTAAATCTTCAAAATTGCAAGCAAATGGAATCATTAGTGAACAATTGGACAAAAATTCTTTTATCCTCTTCTGTATTAAAAAATAAATCTTCTTTAATTGTGGACAAATGGAAGTCTCCGTGCCAGCAAAATGCTCCCATAACTCTGGTTCAAAAGTAGGCCAGTCATAAGAGTTTTAAAGGAGCCTTACTGCCACAGAAACTGAACCTGTTGCCTGACACATGACACATGAGAAGGGGTCATCCTTTTAAGGCCCGGGAAGGTTAGGCATTTTGGAATAACACCAGCACACAAGTTCAAAAGAGGAAAGCGTAAGAATAGCCAGGCAGTAGATTCAGGCCCTGCACAATGACTGCGTCTTAGCAAACACCTTTGGAAAAATAAACAAACCAACACAATAACAGCAAACATGCCAACAAAGCAGTTTTTTATTTATATCTACTTATGTCACATGTGACACCACTCAAAAATAGAAACATGCACGACAACTTACCAAGAGATGATTTTAACAGATGACAGATGGCTCACTTCAGACAGAGTCCCCTTTAAATATAAATAAACAAATTAAATCAGACAACACAAGCAAGCACAATATCCATCACACATAAGTAGTCATGGGGGAAACTAAGCCAAACGATACATTTAGAGCAGAAAATCCATTTAGTCACATCTTTCATTGCCAGTAATGTCATCTGGTTTGCATGAGCTGGATTAAACACCAGTCTTCTGGACCACCATCTACAGTACTAATTCCAATAATAGCGGTTTAATGCTGCACCCTCAGAAAATATCATTTATATCATCCAAAGAGCTGTCAAAGCAGCACGCTACAACAGAAACAGGCTGAGGGGCTGGCCACAACACCTGTTGCAAGACCACAAGACCACTCAGCGACGGTGACATCAACACACTGACATGCGCTCTTCCAGATAAAAAAAAAGCCAAAACTGGTTTGGGTTTATTTTACCTGTGTTTCTGCTGCTTAGGGGCGACCGGCTGCTGCCTGCTTCTCCCAGCCTGGAGTGTCAGAACAAGAGGCTCATGTTGAGCTCAGCTAGTCCTTTCCTCCAAATGGAAGGTACAGGCTCCATAGCAGTCCAAAAATAAAACCAGAGCCCTTTACTTAGAATGTGAGCGGCGAGTGGTGATGTGCACAGGGACCGCCAGCAAGGCAGGAGGTGTCCAGAGCACCTTCCATAAACCCCCACCCTCCCCTCCTCCACTTGCCTCAAGTCACCAAAGGCCAGACCCCAAGCTTCAGAGACTAAAAGAACACTGCCATCTGCAGGACAGTACTGGTAGTTGCCTCCGTAGGCTGCGGCCAAGACTAAATAGAACCTGACACCAAAGGCAGGGTGTGAAAAGAGTATGATATCACTGAACATGCCTACTTACTAAGTGGACATTAAGAGACTCCCCTAATTAACCTCATGGGGTGCGTTTCCTTAAGACAGTTATATCAAAATAGCACTGTTAACTTCACTTTTCACTTGTTCATCCACATGTAGTTTTAGGCAAAAGAACCAAAGAGAAAGCCTATTTTTGAATGCAGATAAGCTTCAAATGAAAATATCACATGGAAATGAGATATGGTCTTTGTCGTTATTTGAGGACAGTTCAAAACGTGCACTGTATCTTTACAGTGTTTGTACAGTAATGTGTTTCATTAATCATCTTAATTCAGAGTAGTCATGTAATAACTCTACTGTTTGGTTGAACGTACTTTAAATAGGCTAAAATTCATACAGGTGGAGCTTTTTCCCCTCCAATGTGCAAGAAATGACATCTGACAACATATTTTTGAGGCAACTTCGGAGAATGTGTCATATTCCTGTGCTGTTATTTGAGTACATTTAAATGTCTTTAACCTTACGTTATTTGCACACTATAAAACACACGGGTTGCACGGCATTACAACATTATATCAATCGTTACTCTACTCTTTGGATGAGCTTTAAAATTAAATAGGCAAGATTTTGTACACCCAAGTTCGATAACTGAAGAACATCATTACAAAAACTTATTTTTGAGGCTACTAAACTTCCAATAATATCTGACATGTTCCTTTGTTGTCATATGAGTATACTTCACAACAGCTGACAAGTCGCCTGAATTTATATGAGCTTAGATGAGTTATGTAACACCCCTTGTGGTATGAAGTTTGGCCACTGTCTTTGGGCACATGCCATCTGTGCATTTACAATCTCTTTCCTTCAGGAAACACCCAATGCAGCTACCCTGCTGGTGCCTGATGCCTCCATGTTTTAAATGCCTCTCCCACTCACTCTCAGATGTGTGCCTCATTTTGCTTGCCTAATGCAATAGCAAATATAGCGATGCTGTCTCCATTCCAAACTTGTGCCTCCTCTACATTCCCTCAATCCATCCATCTCCTTATTCAGTGCCCGGGCCAGGACCTGGACCTGGCCTCCTTTGCCCTGCCCACCGAGCGCTCTCAGCCAATGGGAGGCCTTCGCAGATCAAGTGTCACTATAACAGAAGGACTTATTCGGCCCTGGATGTTTGCAGAACTTTACAGCCAGTCTCCGCCACCAGGGAGCTCACTTCTTTCAGCTTTTCTCAGGTAAGACAGTGAGAGGAGATAGAGAGAGAGAAAGAGAGTGGTAATGGGAGAGAGAGAGAGGATGACAGTGCGTGTGCATGAGAGAGTAAATGGAGAACAGGGCATCCACCTGTATTTCAGTGGAATATACATGTGCAAAAAGCACTGCCACAGTCATGCTTTAAAACAGAGGATAGTTCACAGTACCACTGAGGTGAGGGGAGCACCTGACACTAGAGCAAAAGATCTCAGAGGTTCTCCAAAATGTTCTGGTCAATAGTACGTAGAGTATCAGCCTGTTTGTTAAGTAATGTGCAGGGGTTGTATGTATGCTGGTTAAATAAGACAAGTGGTAGCCTAGGAGTTGCTAATCTGTACACTGTGCTGTCAGTTGCTGATTTATAAAGCTAAAAAAGGAGGTGGTACCCTAAGGTGACATTCTGTTGCCCTAAGGTCACCGAGACTAAAAGTGAGTGAGTAAATGTGAATGTGTGTGAGCGCGCATATGCTAATTTGGAGGATTGGTGGTGGTAGCTGTTGTAACAGCTACTGGTGTTGATTGATTAAGCAGTGTAAATCACTTTGGTCTGAGTTCAGGCAGGTCACTGGTGCTGGTTTCAGTTAGATTTCTCATCGCTTGTGGCACCACAGTCCTGCAAATTGCTCAGTGCTGCTTACAACTCGCCAGCGTCACTGACATCCTAGACTTGTTTGATGGTGGTTGTTAAGCTTGTCACAAGGGCCTCTGAGCTTATCAGAGTACACTTGTTGAATATCTTTGGAGCTTTTCTGTAAACCGTTTCAGCAGGTGAAAATTAAAAAGCCATTTTATTTTAGAACAAAACAGTGATCATATGGTAAACATATAGTAAACACCATCAAAACAGGAAAATGACAAACTGCAGAAGATGCCTTATCAGTCACACTGCATTAATACATTTTGTGTGACCCTGTATGGCTAAGGCATCCAATAGTTTTGAGAAACCAATTTCACTTCACTGTGTAAACAGCTAAGTAATTTGCTTAATAGTCTCTTGTTTTGGAATTGAAATTCTAACTGAAATTTACATTGTGACATGACAGAAAGTTCAGCTTAAATTCTATAAAACTTGCAAAAATGTCTCTGTGTTTGTTATGACCAGATAAGGCAATGAAGTTAGTGTTACAGATACTATTCCAAGAGAAAGAACTTGATCTTGAAGGTGGAAACTGGATCCTGAGTAATGTCAGGAAGACACTTGCAGCTGTTTAGGAGGGAATACTTATATTCAAGAAGCCCCAATGAGTGTCTCAGTCCATAAGAATATTTGTGATTCATTTTTATCAAAATCTACCACATATCGCAAGGTTGAATTTTGTCGTTGGTTATGCAAAAATGTACACATCAAAAGAATTATCTAAATAACCAACACGAAACATGAAATACAGGAAAAATAATAGGAAATACTGGATACAATACTGAAAATAATAATATTTCCAAAACATACTTCAGACTTTACTCCATTAAATTAAGTATGCTGATGGAAAGCACTTAACCTCTGACCTTTATAGTGGAATCTGGAAAGCTCATTAATCTGCCGGACTGAGTCAAAAAAGAACATGCTGTAAAACCATGTGTGGGGCCTTCTCACTTACAGCTCAGCACAGCTTGAATTTCAGGAAATTTATATGGCTATTAATCTGGCTGACTGTCTTTCTTAGCCAACATTGAAACCCATGGAATCATTTGAATGTGTACTGCAAGTTATAACACTCCAAATTTCCTTGTGTTCATTCCTATGCTGCTATATGGTGGCCATTTGGATGGACTCTTAGCTCAAAAGAGCAGACTACCGTTAGTGGTACAGGGCGGGGTCTATTTGGTATTGGGAAGAGACCTTTTTTGGCTCCAAGTTCTGTTACAAGGAAGCTATATATATAGCCTGGGTATCTGCCAGTAGGCTATGAGGTAGACTATGTGTGGTTTTGCCAAAGAGATCTAATCTATTTTTTTTTTCTTTTTCAGTCCCAAAGTCCACTATCATCATGTCTGACACAGAGGAAGTGTAAGATCTTTCACCTCACAAAATCCACTTCATTGTAGACTGTGCAAAAGGCTTACCTAACAGCAAAGTTAATAGTTATAGATAATTCCAGTATGGCTGCTCCAGAATTGTAGTCATAGACATGACCACAATGCTTTAATAACATTTTGACATTAAAAAAAACACAAACTATACATACATTACAGTTTAAAAGGTTGGAATCACGGTTCAAAATCACTGTTTCTCAATCATATACAACAAATCTGGACGCAGACATGTGTATAAAATGATTCTAATATACTAGTTGGACACTAGGAAGCTGTAAATAAAAATTAAGACATTTTAGAGGAGTCCAGAATAGTGAACAGAGCCATGGCAGATTCCAAAATGACTAATGAAGTTATAATTAAATTAATCCAGAAATCATCCTATTTCAAAAGTGGAGATAAAATGTTTTTTTCGATTACAATATAATATTTTTTATTTAATAAGTTATTGTTCAAATAATATGTGAAATATTGAATATAACATTCAAGAATACTTTTTATCCAAGAATAGTTTGTAACATTTAAATCCACATTCTATACTGTATTATTGTTTAATAATACAACAATAACCGTTGATGCATAGAGTGATTCCAAACTTTTGAACAGTTTTTGAACAGTACATGTGCGTCTTCATGATAAATGTACCACTGGGCTAAATATTCCAGTAACTGATTAATTTTTTTTTTTTCTCCAGTGAGCAACAGGGTGAGTACTGCCACTTTTAATGTGATACTAACTATATTACTGTATAGTTATTTAAATTGGGTTTTAACAATTATAACAGTTATTGTCATTCAGTTCAAATGTTTTAACTATAAAAAATCTGTCTGTATCAATTTTGTCCTGTATTCCTCCTTGTGGAATGCACACTGTGTAGATGAATTCAGTCATGAATATTTAAATACAAACTTAAATCTATTCAATTAAAAAAATCTACCACACCATACCACAAGTGCAAACTAAAGTTAATTTTGTCTGAATATTATTACTGGATGAATGGTGCTTCTGTACTGTTGAATGAATAAGGAATGAATCATTCCTTACTTATGCATGGTTGCAGCTACTGTTGCCAGCAGAACCTGACAATTAAGAATTAGCTCAAGAATCATGACAGTGTCTCTACACCCCATCTAAACAGTAAACCACTTCACTTCAGAACACTGAATATACAATATAAATTAATCTGTTTGCAACAGTTTCTGCAACTTTGTATTGTTAAATACGCTCTGCATCCTCCATGGCTGCATAAAGTCACAGAAATGTGGTTTTCATTAAACTGACTCAATTGGATGTTTTTTGGTACCACCAACAAAAGGCATGTAAATTGGCAGGCCACTTTATCAGCTATGGAGGACTGTGTATAACACTGCATGACCCCAAGCTGTACACAGATCAGTGATTTGGGCACAGCTGGGCACATGTGATTATTGTGCTGATCTACTGCTTTCTTTTTCCAAATTAAAAATGAAGTCGGCGATGAAGGTAAAACACAATATTAGATGGCATTTTATTGCCATCAGTACTAATTCTCTAATGTTGCATTTATACACAGAATACTTCTCTATGTATTCAGTGATTTTTTTTACTACTTGAGATGCTGTATAAATAGTTTTGCATGTTCTTGACCTTATTATTCCTTCTTTGCTCTTTGTGTCAACCCATTAGCTTTCATTCATGGACTCATAAATCATGCAAAACTTTCCATTCATATCATCATCTAGCTTACTCACTTTATCATTATCATTCATCCATTTGAATAGAAAACCCATACACTTAGACTTGGTTGTGTTGTTAAAAAAAGTCATTATTCTTCCATGTAGCTTGACTAAAAATAAGCTCAGCCTTGTGTTGTAGGTTAGGTTGCGCAGGAAATAATTATTATTATTATTTAGCTTAACTAAATAATAAGCTAAAATCTATTTTCAGCTATTTTAATTGTGAAACTTGCTAGACAAACAAAAATCATAATGACAGAGATTTTCAAATGCTCTACTAAACCAACACCACAGCCACTCACTGACCAAAAGACCAAGCTGCAGCACATTATTAACAGTAACAATATCTGTTACAGTAGCATCTGTAAAAAACACTGGCATTAAATCAACAAACTGAAGTGATTTCTAGGTCCATATTTCTATATCATCAATCATCTTATACAGTGGTTCTCAAACCGGTCCCCAGGAAGCCCCACATTATTCAGATTTTTGCCTCCCACTTAACTATCACATAGGTATAGAGCAAAAATGTGGACTGGAGGTCTCTATGACTTGTTTGAGCACTACTGAACAAATCTATGCTATTATTCCTGCATTTACCACCAACACCTCTGCACCATGTACTACATTTCCCTTGATCGTGCCACCTGGTGGTCTTTGCGTTCCTTGCATTCCATTATCAACCAGTTGGCCATTCCCAAGTCTTTATCTAAAACCCAATAACCCCACTACTACCTTTTCCTGCATCTACTAACCTCTCTCACCATAACCCTCCTCTCCTCAACCCCACTTCCTGGCACGTATATAGTCGAAGAGATAGTAGATGTAGAGGTGGCGCCTGAGGCAGCCCCAGCCCCAGAACCAGAACCAGAGCCTGAGGCTGAGCCTGAGCCTGAGCCTGAGCCTGAACCAGAGCCAGAGCCAGAACCTGAGCCAGTAGCTCCAGAACCAGAACCCGAGCCAGAACCTGAGCCTGTGGTGGAAGGTATGTGGCATGGAATATTCTCTCATCCTTCTCCATAAAGCAGCGGTGCGCTCCATCCCATTACATGCTAGTTACAGTGGACTAATCAAGATACCCCTTAACCCACCTTCCATGATCATACATAACCTCCTCTTCTTCTGGCTATCGGAGCCTTCAAGGGACTCTCAGAGTGCTATATCGTGTACTATTGCCACCCCATATACGCTTACTCTGTCCAACACAGCTGCCAGACCCTGCCTGCCTCCTCACTGCCATAGTCATATGCTAAGCCTCTACATGCTTGAGTGTGGTAGATAAAGACCATTATTACTTGTGCACAAACAATGATAAGTGCTGCCAGAGTCTTTTGTCATGCATTGGCTGAAGAAGTCATGTTCATCAGAATGCCAGTGAATGACAACCCGATGAAACTGAATGAGGTTACAGCTGTCTAGTTAACTGTTAATGAATTATGTGCACACTCAATCAGTCACATAAATCATAGTTCATTCATATTCTGTTCTGCTCCTCATCCTTATATGGGGTGATATAAATGATTTAGTAGATTTAGCAGGTACTGTAGTTTACATTACTTTAATATAATTCATATAATGTTAATTTATCACCCCATTTAAGGACTCGCATGTCAATCACAAAAAGAAAAAAGGTTATAAAAAAGCTACTTTGATTGGAACGCATATAGATTGAAGAGCGTGTAGCATTAATTTACAGTCGTAAGAAGTTTGAAATGACATGTTTTGTTGTTTTTCTAAGTGAAGATATGTTAACACATTCACTACATGAAACAAACTTAACTATGGCATTTTTCTGCACAATTTCTATTTATTTGCTTTTGCACAATATGTTGAATTTAGCAAATGAACAGTACTTATTCATTAAAATGTGCAGAAGTGTGTTCTCTGTAGAGGACGTGTTATTTTCACTTTAAATTATCAACAAAACATGTAACTTGACTGGGACAACCCAAACTTTTGCATACGACTGTAGATCTAAACCCATCAAAGTATCTTTAAAGTGCTTCCAATTCCTTTCTAGTACACTCTAAAAAGCAAACTAAATTAATGTTATAAAAATGAGGCTATATTTTAACAACACAGGCAGAATTGTACTGCATGTCATGTTTAATAATATCACCTTAAGATTTATAATGTAAATTGATGAATACACAGCTGTACTGCTGATGCTAATATTGTCTATTCTGCTTTTGCTTTCACCGCTTGCTGCATGCAGAGGTCATTGAAGAGGAAGGTATGTTGATTACATATGTATCCCAACTTTTTTTATGTTGAAAGGACTTTGTTGTCCCTTGTCTCAGCTGCCTGTAGTCTCCCTCTGTTGGAGAATGTATGCACTACGGTTCCTCCCAGTCAAACATTCTTTTGGAGCAAGAAGCACTGCTACAATTGGCCATAATCTACAGAGATATAAACATATAGTTGTATTACAATTTGAAAAGAAAAGTAGATAGAAGTTGGAAAAAAAGTAAAAAGATGTAAAAAGATATAAAATATGGTTGTGTCCTAAAGTTAAAAGACTTGAAGAAAAGGGTGAAAGAATATTACATGCTAACAACCACTAACCCGTCATCCAACCATGCTGCGCCACTCAACTCTGCATGGCATGCACCAACAACTGACCAACTTATTTCAAGAGGGAGGACCAAATGCTAACTCTGCCACCAGGCAAGGGCATCATTTTGGAGAAGTCCAAAATGGACACACATTGACTGGTGTGGGGATTAGGCCACTTTAGACTTCAAGACCTGGCTCATTTAGTGGTCAAGGCAAATTACAGTTGGCAAATTTTTACTCCAGTAAGCACAACAATAGCATACCTGCAAACATGTATGTGATAGTGAGAATGGGCTTTTATTTTGAAGTAAATACCTTAAAATGTTGTCTGATTGTCAAAACTCTTGTTGCATTTGATGTAATGTCTGTGTATTAATGTGTGTCTTAAGCTTGAAAGATTTAGACTTTTATTTGACATGACCTATTATCATTTTTTTTCTTCTGTCTTCCTAATCTTTTTATCATCACAACAATACTCATTCTGTGAAACATTTACTCATCTGTTAAGCAGTTTACTACCAGCATTTGAATTTTGGTTTGATATACCACTTTTCTACATATACTACCATGTGTGGATTTCTAACCCAGTAATGTGTACTTGTCCCCTCTTCATTCTTAATCTACAGAGGAGAAGCCAAAGTTCAAGTAAGTAATCGCCTTCACATTCTGCTTTATTGCAAACGCCACATACACAGTTTGACTATATGTGTTTGTTAAACTTGGTTCTGGATTTTACACAGGGATTCACAATATATATGTATTGACAACTCATCTGATTGCATGGTTGTTTTACCTGCCATCATTAATATATTTTTTCCTTGTCACCAAAGGCCATCCGCACCCAGGATCCCTGAGGGTGACAAAGTGGACTTTGATGTAAGCAATGGCAGAACTAAGAGAGCTACTTTTTAACCGAACATTCATGCTGGTAACATTTGAACTGTATGAATGAACAGATGAAGTTCAGTGTATTTGTCTGTATTTCGACCTCACAGGACATCCAGAAGAAGCGTCAGAACAAGGATCTCCTGGAGCTGCAGGCCCTGATCGATGCTCACTTCGAGCTCAGGAAGAAGGAGGAGGAGGAGCTCATCGCCCTCAAGGAGAGGATTGTGAGTGACCGTGAATGAAGAGTGGAGGCACTTAGATCTGCGTGGGGAGGAGAATGGCAGGCCAGATGCAGAAGCAGTAAAGCGTGGTTGTGTTTAATATGTTGCAGGAGAAGCGCAGGGCTGGGAGAGCAGAGCAGCAGAGGATCATGGCTGAGAAGGAAAAAGAGCGCCAGGCGAGACGTGAGGTGCGTGTGCTCACCAGTATTTACCCTCAAGAGAGTGAAGACTTTTGACTCTTATTTTCCACACTGAAAGTCTGTACCACTTATTCCACTTTTCAAATTTATCATCAATTTCTATCCAACACACTTACACTGAGTCTTGGTGGCTTTAACAGGAGGAGAGGCTGAGAAAGGAAGAGGCTGATGCTAAGAAGAAGGCGGATGAGGAAGCCAAGAAGAAGTCTGCCCTGTCTAGCATGGGCTCCCAATACAGCAGCTACCTGCAGAAGGTGAGTTTTGTTCTGTTTTGTGATTAGACATATACAAAAACAAGGTATATCACAACATTGAACACATAAGATTTTTGTTAACACGTAACATTGATTCATTTTAGAGCGTTCTAATAATTAGTTAAAATCTGTAAAGTAGAGCAGCATCATCATAACAGAATCATTTCATACATTTGTCTGCAACATTATTTTATTTTATTGAAAACAGTGATTCCAAACTTTTTAAATATTATAATACTGTAATTATGGCTGGGCAAAAAATATATTGTTATCATGATAAATTATATCACAATGCAATATGCTTTTCTGAACATATCATACATATCATCAGTACTTGTAGAATACTGACCAACTTCATGTTTCATTATAAAGAGAGCAAAATAATTCCCATTTAACTGGATGTAGTGCAACACAGTGTGCAAAATATTGTACAAAAATCACTATACTCTGTACACTGTACTGTGTTTTATAGGCTTTTTTAAAATGTCTACTACCTGTTCCAACTGATCAAAAGTCTGAAAAACAAATATTGTGACATATTGTGTATGATATTGTGATATTTTTTTAAATATCATGATATGATATATAGGCACATGCCTACTTGTGGCATATAACACTATCAATTGTCTTTAAGCTGGGAGGCTACTAACACTACAACAAAATCTTACCTTGGGGTATAACTCTGTGCTCCAGGCTGACTCCAAGAGAGGCAAGAAACAGACAGAGAGAGAGAAGAAGAAAAAGATCCTGGCCGAGAGGCGCAAGCCACTCAACATTGACCACCTCAACGAGGATAAGCTGAGGTAAGCAGCACTCCAGTCATTACGAGACTTACCCAGCAGATGGGGGTAGAGTGTTGCTTGACCACACTGACTTGGGTCACTGTCCTGTGCCTCAGGGAAAAGGCCAAGGAACTTCACGAATGGTTGAAGACCCTGGAGTCTGAGAAGTTTGATCACATGGAGAGACTGAAGAGACAGAAGTATGAGGTAAGCAAGTCAAATATTAAGGCAATTTTTTTCATATCGTCCCCAACGTCAGTGACGCCAGATCAAAACATATGGAAACAAGTGTGTTTTTTCTTTTGTTCTCATGATGTCCTGTTTACAACCTTTACCTCTGAGATACTGAGATACATGTAAACACAACTTCAATCTCCTTCAGGTTACAACACTGCGTAAGAGAGTGGAGGAGCTGAGTAAATTGTAAGTTGTTACAGGTTCAGTAGGAGGCAGGGCGCCCCCTGCTGTGCATGGTATGTGTCTGCCTGCAGAGTACAGTCACAGGGCAGAAGCTCCAGAGAGGAACGGGTGATTTACACAGAGGGACACAATTAATCTTTTTTTTTTCCTTCTTGTAAAATATAGCAGCATGCAAAATAACACAATTAATTATATAGGAAGCTTTTGTATGAAATTCTCTGGTACTTTAGTAAGGTGACTGACTTTAACAACAGCAAAGGTAACAGGTAATCAAGACAGTCTTGAAAGCAATTGATGTAACAGAAGACAAATAGGTTCTCCTCCAGAGCTAACACTCTCGGGAATACAGTATGGACTGCTTTTGAGTGTAATAAGTAAGTAAAAACCACAAATAGACAGTAATTAACCAGAGTTCATGAGACTTCAGTGTTTTATCTAGGGATGCACAATGATATTGGAATCAAATTGGGATCGACAGGTAATCTAAAAAAAAATTAGACAGATGTTTAAATTTGACCGATATTTAAATCGATATTTGATAACATATTTATTGCACTTTGTAGGAGCAGAATATTTTGGCAGTACTGGATTACTGGGATGAAATGTCAGCATTTTATTTATTTTACAACATTTGTAACCCTAGAAATATATGTTACATTTATCTGTAACACTAATCCAGGAACATTTTATTTCCCAATTTCTACATTTTGTAAATGTTTATGTATCCGCATTAGTGTCAGCATCGGCAGATATGTACATGAAAAATATCACATATCAACATCAATCCACAATTCCCATATTGGTGCATCCCTAGTTTGGTCCTTCTAATCCACCAGGCCTTGGCCAGAGAGCTTCACTTACCAAGGTGAGACCCGGGTCGCACTCCGCAAATGCCTCCATGTTTGTTAAGAAGTGTTGATGTGTTGTTTTCAGGTCATCTCTCTCAGAAACCGCATTGATGAACTACAGAAACAGTAAGTTCAGTAAAGTGACATCTGTGCTTCTTCATAGTCTCATCTCATCCCATCCCATCTCATTACATTTTGATCACAGACTGCTTGCAAATGTAATGTTTTTGTAAAGCCATCACCACCCCTAGAACATCTACCATTGACCCATCATACATCATTCATGATATGCATGGCATAAAAACTTTTTTTCCAGTTTTATATAGCCTATATGTTTAAAAAGGTTCATTCAGCATAGTAGCTTTTGAGGCCACAGTAAGATGTCACACCCAAAATGTGGTCACAGATTTCTTCCAGTCTCTGAGTCAATAGTTATACTTCTATTACCTGGTTTAACGCACAAAGGTAAGTGATGCCTGTTCGTGATTTGGATTGGGCATGTAGCATGAAGCCTAATCCAGAGTTTTAATCTAGACTTTGAGGACCCCCAGCCAGTCCACATTTTCATTTGTTCCAGAGGCAAATGCACCTCAGCCTGGTAGTTAAAGGAAAGATTTACTGAAAAATAAACTGACACAATTTCCCCCTTAGCCCAAATGCAGCTGATCAGCCAGGACATGTTTGGTGTCCAAAGTTTGCTTTCTTAGTTGCAGTGGAGCTATGAGGCTATTGTAGTTAAAAAGTAATGGAAGTCTATGTCACCCAAAATCCTTTTTTTCCATTAGCCTCGTAGCTCCACTGCAATAAGCAAAATCTAGATACAAATCAAGTTTTGGCTGATCAACTACATTCAGAGTATGTGAAAAACTGAGTCAATCAGATTTTTTGATTATTCTTTTAGAGCAGTGGTCACCATCCCCTCCTGGAGATCTACTTTCCAGCAGAGTTTAGTTCCACCCTGTATCTAACATGCTGCCTTCTTTACCCAACACTGATGCATCTGATCCAGCCAATCGAGGACTTCTGAAAAAGTTAGTTAGCTGACACAGGTGTGGCAGACTGTAGCTAGAACTAGACTCTGTAGAGGCAGATCTTTACCACCGATGGCCTCTGCCTTTGCTTAAAGGCTCAGGTGCGTTAGGAAAAGAAACACAACAAAAAAGTGGACTAGCTGGGACCCCCATGGTCCAGGGACTTCAAAAGCCCCTGGACCTGGATGTGAACATCGTGCATTCAAGTCTTCCTAAACGAACGTACCACTTGGGAACACAGCAGCCTCGCGTATGAGGCTAAGTGCTTACAGGCTGTAGAAGCAGATTGTCTCACATGGCTGTCCCCGACTCTTGTCCCATTACAGCAGCAAGAAAGGAGCCGCAGCTCGCCGCAGAAAGTAAGCGCCCACCTCCACGGCCCACGGCACGGAGACGATTCCCAAGCCGCAGTGTTATCGCCATATTTACTAGCCGTAGATCTGCTCAGTGCTCTGCAGGTCTCTGTACCTGCTCGTTGGCAGAGATCCACACTCACGCTTTCTCGTCTGGGACTGCTGTTTGGTTCTCATTTCCTTTTTTCCATGTAAATAAAGTGTTACCCATAAAGCCTTTGTCAGTAGGTCTGTTGTTATTTAGCCCGAGCATCAATAAAGTGTTTTTAGCCCTGTCATTCACGCTTATTTTCTCACCTTCATCACAGAGACTTACAGATAAACTGTGCTATTTTCTTCTCCGTCGGTATGCTAACAAGCCCCGCCTCCTTCACCGGGATTGGCTGTGAGTAGCCTCTCTCTTGTCTCACGCCCTGGGACTGGTTATGAATTAGTAACCGATGTCAGCCGAGGGGGCGGGGCTTGTCTGGACACAGGTGGGGAAAATAACGGAATATCAGTGACAGATGATATAAATCACACTGCAGTAGGCTGGAAAAAAGAGCCTCACGTGGAGCGGTTTCACTGAGGTTTAGTAAGGATCATTGGTCCCATGATGACCCAGAAGACACATTAAGCTATATTATCAGCGGACTGCTGTGACTGAGAGTATGAACTACATGCAGGTCTTAGGGCAGGGGGCGGGGCTTTCCAGGAGATTGGCACCTTGCTGACTGTATGCCACTGCTGGTCTATCCTCAGATCACCCAGACAATTGTTCTGCATAAGGTCTAACTAGGATTTAATCTCCTCAGGTTTTGAATGCACATAGCCATTTACTTTGGAAAATAGAATAAACTAAGACAATTCTTACAAACAATTAAGAGAAATAAATGAATGGCTAAGTCTAATATAAAACGATTTTGTTGAAAATGTTGCTGCTGACATTGTGTCAGATTGGTTACAGCTGTATAACCCGCGGTATTTATGACATTGCTGTTAAAATTATTTACTAAACTAATTTATAAGGGATAACAAAAGAAAAAAAATTATAAATTGGACTGTGAGAGGAAAATGAGCGCTGAATCGTGGTGTTTTGTCTAATACTCTGATTAACCACGGCGTGGGCTGCCTTAAAAACGCTCAGCGTAAAGCCAGTGGGCCGCCAGCTATGCCACGAGTGGGTCAGCAGTGGCCCAGTGTGCTCCTGATGTGTGTCGGAACACGAGGTGAAAACAGGGCCCTGAGCACAGCGCTCAGTCATAGTGATCATTTAGGCACAACAGTCCTGACTGACAGTACATGTGCTGCAGCAGGAAACTGTTCGCATCCAGAGTGGAATATGTCTACAAATCAAGAACAGCCTCAATAATAATAATAATAATAATAATAATAATGATAATAATGATAATGATACAAAATCAATTTAGGTCATGAATTGGAGACGCTCCAAATGTAAAGAATGAATAAAATAAACACCACTGCTAAAAAGTCCAACACAAGAAAAATACATACTGACTTATACATACTTTTCATTGCCATTAGACTAAGGTATCGCAAACATAGGAGCCCCTGCTTTTAATTACTGGAACCTCTTTTTTCTTTCAATGTTCTGTGTAGAACAGCGAGCCATTTGAATGCATATCAGAGTATGTCACGGTATGATCGTCCATCTTTTGATTTAACCAAGTTGTTTGTGTGTCCAGTGATGCCGGCCTACGCAGAGTTCACTCAAATTTTACGAAAGATGATGGCTAAACTGAAAACAAATAAGCGTCAGTTTCTCTCTCAGCACTTCTGGACGTTTTGTGAGTTTGTTCACAGCCGTGTTTGAAAAAGCTCTAAATAGCTGTGCTGTGATTATAATGATGATGGCCAGTGAGCTGCGACGAGCTGCGTTTCACACAGCAGTTTCCGCAGGATGAGTTAATTTGATAATGTTTACATTAATGTATGTGCTTAATCCGGGTCATCAGAGCTCACTGCACTCTGTTCTAGGCCGCGTGCAAGATCACTCTCATTTCAAAATTCAAAACGCAACGAAACGTTTAAAAGAGCGCGAGACTAACCGTCATTTGTACCGCTGCCCTGCAGAAAAATCATAGAAACCGTTAAAGGTTTCTGTTGGTTCCTGGTGGTGCCCAGTACTCAGTAATGGTATGCTGTGTTGTCCTGATAGGTTGATATCACAGTGTAAATGATTTTAATGGTTTAGCAGGTGTTCGGGGGCGATTCCAGATACATTTGACAGGCTCCCCAATGGGATCTAAAGGTGTCCTACAGGAAACTAGTGGTCTCCATCAAGCCAATTCCCATTAGAAAGCAAAATCATCAGGTTTTAATAATGATGATTCTAAAGGTCTGTTTTCCAGCAAGGTGGAACAAGAAGAACTAATCTAGGTTCATAAAAAATAGGTTTGCTTTTAATTGTTCGTGTTGTTATCTTATTATGAAGACATAATAACACATGGTACGAAGATATGTACAGTAATGTATTGTAAGGTAATTTTGATAATCAACCCCAGCTAAGCTAATTTATCTTAATGTCAGACCGTTCTTGAAGGATTTACCAAGTCATGTTAGGCCAAAGGTGTAGCCAAGGGGCCAGGAACACTCTAACATGAAGCATAGCCATCATTCTCTGGCCATCCCAGTCATGGAAAGTGAGACAATCAACCTTCAATTACACTTCACGGTGAAATGGGGTAGCTTCCAATCGGCTATGAGAGTATGATGAAGCTGCACTTAATAATTAGCATATGGTGCTGTAATAGGTTAAGTTGCTGACCACACGGGCCAGGGTATGTGCACCTGGTCCCTTCAGCAATGCTGTCCCATGAGCTACATTATGAAGTAGGTGGTGTGATGGTAAGATGAGTTAACTGGCAAAATTGGTCAGCTATTAACATTTATCAAGCTAACTAATCACTTTTCACAGCTGAATACATGCATGCTGTGTGGGGTGGATTCCATCTGTGAAACATATTTTTGCAAAAGCTAGGTCAGCTTTGTTGTCTGGCTTTTAGGCCTTCTATGACCTGTCTATGTGCAATGTTATTATTAAAGTTAAGGTTGTGCACTGAATGTAAAGGCAGTGCTGAATGTATTTTGCTTGATTTAAATACATCATTTTCTCATGAATGACTAAAATTGGTTACATCACTTCAAACACATCAAAATATAAGCTTTTGTCTTTCAGTTTACTTCTGGCAATAGTGGAATTGATGTAATATTTTATTAATGTGGAAATGATGGACAGAGTTATGTGCAGAGAAAAGCCAGCACATCACTTTTTTTGTTATTTCAGTTCAGTAATGCTGTTTTATGCCACCTCAATAAAAATCTCTGGGTCCTGTGTGGACACCCCATTCTAAAGGTTCTAGCTAATCCCCTGTGCTAGCCAGCAGAAGCAGGTAGAGTAGCTAAACCCACACTGCAGAAAAATGATTGATGTTACTATAGTTATGACTCAAGTAGAAGTAAATGCACTTTTCCAAGAATCAACTTGAGTAGTGGTGTAAAATAATAGGCTAAATCTCAAAATTTAGATGCATGACCAATCACAAAGCAGCACAGATTCTGTCCCCAACCTATAACACAATGAAGTTAAGGCCAAAAAAGGAGAAACTAAATGTTAATGACTAAAATCTTGCCAAACAAAAGAAGACTTTCCACATCAATATATTACTTTAGCTGAAGAAGGACAAAAATGAAACCATCATTTTACCTGCAGTACGTAAAACATAGTTATGATATATATATATATATATATATATATATATATATATATATATATATATATAAACAAAAATATGGTTCTTCAGGGCTATATAGAACCCTTAACACTCAAAGAAACATCTGCGTGTTTAAAAAAGTTCTTTTTTGCATCATGAAATGGCTCTTTAGATTAATATAGAATGTGTTCTATAAAGAACCTTTTTGAAAATGGTTGAAAACCTTGCTAAACAAGACAAAGCTCTTCATAAGAGACACACAATTTGGCAAATTCATGTGATGCTCTTATATGGGAAACTTATTTGGACTAAATAGTGTGAACCAAACAGTCACAGCAGTGAAACATGAAATAGACTTCCAAACTGAGCTCTTCCACCTCTGAGGTTAAAGGGCAGTAATACAGCGCAGATATTGTTCACTACCTGCTGACCATAAAGCATAGTTGTATGTCACTGATCTAAGGCTATGTTTCTTTTAATACTCCAATTAAAGAATGAACTAAGCCTCTTACAGAAACACTGATATGTTTGAATGACAGGAACAGCATTTTTAGGGCCGGTTTGTTGCAAAAGGATTGGCAACTGTGCTCCTGGTTCTCAGTATTTATAATAAAAATAATAATAATAATATCATCTCAGGACTGACTGTACAGTTCAGACGTTCCAGAAAAGTATATGTGTGTTCTGCTACATTCACACAAGATGGTGCTGCTACCATTTCCATACAGCTGACCAACACTGACTTTTACAGAGATATAAATATCAATCTTAGCTTCTTCTTCTTCTTCTTCTTCTTCTTCTTCTTCTTTCTCTTCTATTATTATTATTATTTGTAGTAGTAGTAGTAGTAATAGTATAATATATATATATATATATATATATATATATATATATATATATATATATATATATGTGTGTGAACACAGCTTTACTTACATTTTTACACTGAGCTTTACTTATAGTTATACACTGAGCTTTTCTTATATTTATACAGAGTTTTTCTTATATTTATACACTGAACTAAGCTTTACTTTCATTTATACATGAACACTGACCTTTTTGATATTTATACATTGAGCTTTACTTATATTTATACACTAAACTTTATGCTTACATTTATACACTAAGCTTTATACTTATATTTATACGCTGAGCTTCGCGTATATTTATAACTATTCTTGAATACATGTACACTTAAAGACAGTTTTGTGAAAGAGCAGTACACCAATGCATTATAGGCGTTTTTGACGATATGCAAAACAGTTATATTAATTGAATATTAAATAACAGTGATATTGTGAAAACAATAATTGTAATTGAAAGCGTTTTATTAAATGAGTGGAATCATTTGCTGTGTTTAAACGTGAATGTGTGTGGGGCTCCATTTTTATTTTAACTAATTTATTTACTTATGTATCACGCTCTTAGTTCCGTATACTGCACCGCTTATGACATTTAATTGTTTTACCTTCAAAACAATTAAAAAAAAAAGAGAAAGAGCGAAAACGGCTGTTTAAAAATCTGCTGATGAAATAACTGCAGTTAAGAGTCAGAACTTGCTGACTACACTTTAAAATGTGAGGTATTTCTGTTCTGTACTTTCTCCCACATTATCTGTGGAAAAGAAACAGACGGGCTCGTTTTTGTGTATAAATAAGTCTTATCTTTATTAATCCCACATTCACTCGCTGAAGATGTATAAATATAAAGTTGAACGCTGGACACAACAAACTCCTCACACAGGCAGCATTAAATACACAGTTAGGTTTGATCACTTCTCCGTGTTCTGTTTCTTTTTTTCTTTTTTAACAAAACAACTCTTATGTACACATATACAAAAATGGTCCTCTACTTTTCATATCTGAAGTGGTTATTCTCTCGTGAATAATTAGGAAATAATAAAAGGTGACAGAAAAGAGAAAAAAGGGAAAGATATGGTCACATAATTGCAGCGCTGACACAGTTACATAAATAAGAATCCTTAAGAAACTGACTTCTGCAGAGCCATCATCATCATCATCATCGTCATCATGGAATTAGACACTTTCTACAGAAAAATAAAAAAGAAAGAATAAAAAGGGAACAAAAAACAAGAAAGAAAGAAAGAAAGAAAGAAATGAAACGTTAGAAAAGAAAGAATGAATGAAAAAATAAAGAAACGTAAGAAAAAAGAACGAAATGAAGACCGAAGGTGAGGATAAATGCAGTTTTCTGATCTCCCGTTTCTGTCCTCTCGCGGAGGAACAGCAGAGTCCTGAAGGCTCGTCCCGCGTGTCTGTGATCTACAGGACCTGGTAGACGGGGTCGGGAGCGCGCACGGCGTTCCGTGGGGAAGGAGCGCGCGGCCCCGCTTCGCTCAGAGCGGATCCGTCGTGCGGAGAGCGCGGGCTGCTGTCCGAGGGCTCGTGCGCTGCGATCGGAGGACACGCGGGCGTCTCTGTGGAAATCCGCTCTACGATACTGGACAGACAGTCCAGACTGGACACCACTGTGGACTTGTTGCTCCGCAGGTCACCTGGAGGAAATCAACAATAAAAACCGGTTAATATTTAATTAAGTTATGTCAAAATGTAACATTCGATATTTCAATATATGTCAGTAAGTTAGCATTTAATATTTAATTAACTAACTTTTGTCACATGAGGGAGAAAACCTAACGAACTGAGACATCCTGAATTATTATTTTATTTGTAAAGTTAACTTTAGATTTATTTATAAATTAGATTTATTTAGTAACGAGGAAGAGTCGTAATTGAAAAACATTCAATCAACATATTTAAAAACGTCATTTAAATGTTGAATTAAGCTCTTTGATATCGACTAAAAGTTATTTATTCAGCCTATTAGTTTGGTTAGGTCTCGTTGATCTTACCATTCTGACTCTCGCTGAAGTAGGAGCTGTCATAACTGTTTCTTCTTCCAGACGGGCATGTAGGACCATTGAAATCCATCTGGGGAGAAACAAATAACAATAATACATTATTTATTTATTCCTAATTGTACAATAGAAACATTATTTTTTACTCCTAATTAAACAAAATACATTATTTCTTTATTCCTAATTAAACAATCGAAACATTATTGATTTACCCCTAATTAGACAACAGAAAATGTATACTCGTATTTGAACAGTACAATGAAAACACAGGCAGGCGACGGATTCACCCTCTAGATTATCTATCTACTGCTTAATCAAGAACACGTCAGAGTCGCTACATGTCCTTAGAGGAGACCTCGGTTCCTCACCATGCCATCGGAGCAGTTGGATCTGGGGCTGGACGCGTCCGAGTCCCCGCTGTACTGATCCAGGACGGGGTAGTAGGAGTCCTCCTGGCTGCGCAGCAGAGCCTGCAGGGACTCGATGTAGCTGATGGCGTTCCTCAGGATCTCCACCTTGGGCAGCCTCTGGTTGGGGTTGGCCGACGTGCAGCGCTTCAGTGTCTCGAAGGCGTCGTTCACTTTGCTCAGGCGCCTCCTCTCCCGCATGGTGGCGGCCTTCCGCCGGTCCGCGTTCGTCGTCTTCCTCTTGCATGCCTTGCACGCCCACAGGAGGCACCTGCCCGCCTGGTGGTGGCCGCTCGGCGCGCGCACGTGCTCGTCCTCCGCGTGTCCGTGCTCGTCTGGCTTGAGCAGGCTCACGTGCACGAGCCGCGGGTCAAGGTCCTCGAAGAAGTGCATGTCGTTGGTGTTGAAGCACGGGTCGTCGTAGAAGTCGTCCGCGGAGGGGATGGGGAACGGGATATCCGACAGCTCCATCTCTTCTGACCAAAAAACAAAATAAAATAAAAAAAAAACACAGACTCAACTTTTATATGTGTGAAAAAACAAAGTCCAGACGTTCACGTGCATCCAGTGCGCACGGACGCGTTTTGGCTATGATCTGTTTTTAAAGACAGGCTCTTAAGGTCCTTGGTGAGTGAGTGAGTGAGTGAGGTCTGCAGGTGAGGATCCACCACTGATGTCCCTGTGCAGCCTGCAGCCACTTGTTGCTGAGGAGTCTTAAAGCCGGTTTATATGCTCCAGCAGCTGCCCGGAGGTGTGGCCTGGGCCTGGCCGACTGACCAATAGACGTGCGCAGCGAGGCGATGGGCGGTGTTTCATTTGTGCTTGATGAAAACTAAACTAAAAGACAACAATGAAGGTTACAATGAGAAATTCGTTCAAAAGTCAAAATCACAACTTAACGACTGGCTTAATATGAAAGAGGCAATTTAAATGCCCAGGAACATGAAACACCCGGAGACTGTCCAGCAGTTGTTGGTGCATTTTTAGGAAACGAATAATACCTTTGTAAATAAAACGAAAAAGTAAATATGGCAAAAGAAAGGAGACGTCAATGTCTATTCTGTCCTTACTTTGTTTATGCTGCCTGTCTGGTAAACGCAAATGACTTATTATAATACTGAATATTAAAATACTAATTTCTGTGTTACTTAAATGTAGCTTTCCGCCTGAACATATTAGAGGATGAGCTGTGTAGTCTAATACAATAAATACATCCATTACATTTATTAAAGTGAGGAGGTTTAATACATAATCTCAATATTAAAAGGCTAAACGAAAATCTTGACGATGTGATCAGGAGGGTTTCACCCAAACCACTTCACATATAACCAGACGACCCCTGAGACCCCCAGTATTCGATTACAGTAGATAGTAGTGCTGAGAAAAAATGAAAGCAAGGTTAAAAACGTCTACACTTATTAACTGGATTGAGCGCAGTTCCAGTTCTTTAGGATAATCGTTTCAAGTTTCTTTCTCTCTGATTATTGTTATGATTAATATTATTGTCCAGAAACTGTAACACAGCATAGGTAAAAGGAAGGGATCTCTGGTAATTAATGAACGAATCGATTTAATAAATAACTAAATGAACAAATTGCTAAATAACGTTTCTGACAGGGGGAACTAATTTTAGGAGTTCATTCGGTTCATAGACTACTTATGTCATGAACTAGCCTCCTTTATTTAGTTTCCCTTAAATATATCCTCTAGCAGTGCTAAGTCATCACCAACAGATGGCAGAAATGAGCCAATAGGATCGTGGTTTGTCATTCACTTCAAAGAACCAGGGTCACAGCAGAATCTACTTCTCTACACTCCAGAGTGCATATTCTAGATTCACCTTACAACCAACATATTAACAATGGACCTACCTTCATACATATGGGCTAAAATAAAAACCCCTAAAAATTTGATTATTTCCTTTATGTTTTATTTTTATGGCTTAAATCAATACACAACACACCAATAACTGCTAAAGACAATACAGTGCAATGAAGGACACACTTCGGTTTAATACTTACAATAACAATACATGTGGAGTTCTCTCTTTGGCCATGCAAACTTCTAGAAATGAATACACTTATTTGAATATAAGGTAATGTGTAATGATATGCTACATTTCTAAAAACACTCAGAGTGCATGCTTATAGAATGGCAGAGACAGAAATGTATTTGAAATGGAAAAGATGTATTATTAAAATCGCAATGCTACAGAAAAATAGGCAGAGTGTGGTAAAAAAAATGCCTCCGACACACAATCCATATCAAAAGACTCATTTAGCCTCTGTCAAAAAACAAATACAATGATCCATTGTAAAATAAAACGATTGTCTCTTTTTAAATAGAATCAGTCTTTATCAAGAATGGCAAGTTTCTTTTCCAAACTATAGGCATCTGATACAAAAACACATTCATAAGAACAAAGCTCTCAAAACAGCCAGCTTAATACTGTTGTTTCTCGTTTTAAATACTTTGCTGAAGTCACGAAACTTCCTCGTTTACGTAACAATAAAATTCACCCAATATTTCACTCGAGCAATACTTTTACCTGAGGAGGAATTTTAATACTAAGTTATAAAAGTGCTTTTCAACAAACCCATAATTCATTTCTATTAAAGTCTAGAACTACAGTTTGTGCATTGCTTTTAATAGCAATGAACTGTAGTTAAGAACAGAAAACATGTATAGGAAAGAACTGCTGGTCAGGCTTTTTAACGCATCAGTATGAGGCTCATCAGGAGGAAGCTCAATCACTTCTTGTCAGCTCTTCATACAGCTGGTCAATGATGTACTCTCCGAATCCTCCCGCACCATCACTGGTGCAGCCCACTTTTCGAGCATTGGTCAAGAGGTCACCTAGTAGTTTGATCTTTGGTGTGAGGGGCTGGAGGAAGTGGCTTTTGAGCATGCTGGCAGAGTGGGGGTCTCCATGCTCACGTGCTAGCTGACACAGCTCCACCATGATGGCCATCTCCTCCTTCCATTGGCCCAGCAGGAGCTCCAGAGCAGGGAGTAGCGCACACACCTGCTCTGTGCCTGGTCTCTGCAAACCCAAACACATGCTTAAAACACACATAGTGTATATTGTGTATAGGGTGGGTGATACGGTACCATTATAATATCACAAAATGTTCACAGTATATGAAATATAATTTTTATTTCTGACATTTAATAAGTTGGAACAGCAAACAAACATCAGCAGTGCCACATCTTAAAATATACAAAATCAAAACCATTTCAACTACATTTTCACATACTGTGCTGACTATAAAAGCTCTAAATCTAGTTGAAGCATACTGTGGTGTAATTTATCACAATAAAAATATATGTTGTCATATTTCCCACCCCTAATTAAATGTATTTATATATACATGTAGTAGCTAGAGATGTAGAGGTGTCTAAATGGCTAATTTTGATTATTGACAAATGAGACACCCTTGAAAGCAGCCTACTAGCAATAGATTAGAATTTCAGTATTCTGCTTTGATGTATAATTTTTACATTTTTTGAGACTGTATTGAAATTACACCATTAGTATATGCACACACAAATACGGAAACAAAGACCAGTCAGACCACTCTGCATACCAGAATACATCAGTAAGATGGGTGTTTTGCAAAATCAGAGACTGGATAAATAATATACATGCTGGAATTTGTGCAATACAAGCAAATCAAGGAACCATCTACTATCAATTATCATGAAATATGTCATGCCCGCAGCAAACACAGCTGTCTTGAACGTGGCTTTAAAATCCTCATCTTCATTTTAGTAGTCAAATCAAGAAACAGGAGTTCTCTTACTTAAAGGTACTTTAGTTATCTGTATAATTCATTAAGATTTTACAATCGAGCAACACAACCAGCTACTTTTAAACATACACATGCCTTAGTCTCTCCATGCATCAGCGGATAACAAGGTGTTCCAAATCGCTGCTGATGGACCCTCACCAGCCTCACTCCGGATCAATTTTACATGAGTCATAAAACTAGGGAAAAGGAGGAGGTTGGAAGGGAACAAGAGAAGACCCAGGCTGAAGTGGCAGCAGGGCCAGTGCCACAGTGTACATCTGGAACTACAATTAATGCACTGTCCTTCCGCTTTCACATTAATCTCCCCAATTTTCCGGAACTCAGGGGAAACGTATACCCTGACAGGCATTAGAGAAGAGATCCCCGCAAAGCCCACAGCGGTTTAGCCCTCTCCTCTCTCTCTCTCTCTCTGACCCCTTCCCCCCTAAACCGCTGCCCTTTACAGCCAAGAGCCACCCTAAAAAAATGAGATTTTTAAAGGTATAGAGAGACATGGATGGCTCGGTAATATGATGAGGATATCGTTTTGGCAATAACTGCTGGCACTAAAATAACTCTGGATAACTGAGAAAACTTTTTGTTCTCAACAACATGAGCAGGAAGCAGATCAAGAGTGTAAAAAGCAAAAGTGGCTATATTAATTCTGATATTCTGAACACACAAAGGTTCTCATGACTGACTAATATTTTTATGAAGAAAACAATCGTAAATTTAAACCCTTAGAAATGGCTGAAAGATTAACCATTTTTAAAGTGAAAGCACAATTTCAATGAGTGCAATTTTGATTATAACCTATACTGTCAACAACGCTGACACAAGTTCTACATGGTGAAATTTAACCTGATAACACTGAGTGGATCACCTGTAGATTAGTCAGACCATTTAGAAGCTGCTTAAAAAAAATTACATATCAGCCTAAATTGTTTCAGAATATCAGTGCTGGTTATGAACTGATGTAGTGCTGGTCAGTCTTTATGTAATCGGCACGTTACCTGAATATCTTTGTTGCAGTACTGTCCTCCACGCTCTGACAGGTAGTGGAGCATGGCCTCCGCCTGCTCGTGCTCCCTCGTGGACTCCTGATGGAAGTATGCAGCCACACGGGGCAATGCCATGTCATCCTGCTCAAAGATCTTAGCCTGAAATACGCAATATACACAAATTACAATGTAACTATTAAAACTGTTAAACAAGGGAGGGCACCAGACAAAAATATGATGATCATGTTCCTTTATTACTATAACTATCCCGCATACAAAATTACAAAACTATAAAAACAGCATATTATTATCACATTATGCATTTTAATTGAATTTCTATGTGTTATAAAAAAGCAATACTTATAACTGAATTATAAATTATTAACTTCAATTTTAAGAAAAATGAATCTTGATATATGTGCCTGAAAACATCAGTAATGTTAAAATATTAAACTAGGTAATGATGTGATGAGGCATAGACAAAACAATGGATTAATCATATGGAAGTGGTCTGCTTTTTGCTTTTAGAGTAGTTTTTCTTAAACTAATATAATCTACATCTTGAACAGTTTCTGGTAGGAAATGCACAGATCAGGTTATGTTGTTTGATGGCTTTCTTGCCTTTGTTGTATTAAATGTAGAAACAATATCAAACCCTATCAAACACCATGCTGTGCACCGCCCACCTGCCCTGAGGTCTGTTTTGTGAAAGTGATCCAAGTTTATATTGACATGTGGTTTCTAACCCAGTTTTATCAGCAAGTGTTTCTTGTGAGTTCTTTTGTCCCCACTGTTTGGCAACAATGGCAATGGAAGCTACTTTCTGCTTCTATCCCATCTAATGTTCTTTGTTTTAAACTTGTCATTACTTCTCTATTGCCATAATGATGCATTTTGCTGTTTCTGCCTCAGTTTCCTCAGTTTTGAGTCATCCTTTCACTATATGTCATCTTGAAAAGAAAAGAAAAAAGAAAAGAAAAAAGAAAAAGTCAGGAAAGAAAGACATGTTGTAACTTATTACATTTAATGTAACAGCCTGCCTTGACTTTCGCTTGAGATTATAGTCTTCTGGATATGATCCTTTGGTCATCTTTTAGGGTTGTTGGTATTGAGTCAACAGTGTGTTAGGTAATATAGGACATCACAGGCCCTGAATAATGAAGATATTTTTTACCATCCACCAAAATTTTATTTCCCACTACATTTCCCACTTATTTCATTTCCCCCTAAAAATAACATCAGTTTAACTAGCCTAATTACAGTACGTTCCTTCCTCATTTACAAAGAATACACTAATAAGCATCAGGAAACCGGAACAAACGAGATCTAATTAAGGTGGACCATAGTACCTGAATTCAACTGTACTTTGTGGTTTCTTCCATGCTATTTTCTCCTCATATTACGGCTAATTCTGAACGAATCTGAAGATATTAAGCTAAGAGTGTTGATAACTTTCATATAATCAGGTCTAATCTGGCATGAATGTCCCAAGGCCACCATTCCTCGAGCAGTCCCAGCAGTTCTGTTCAAGAGTGAGTAGGGAGAGGAGTGTAAGCAGACTGGATGTGAGGAAGTGTGAAAGCAGAGAGCGTTTATGTCTCCTGTCTGTCTCCTCTTACCAGCGCTTGGAGACGGTAAGCTAACTCCATGAGCAAGCTGGAAACTCCGCACAGCCCCTCCTCCACCACGGAGGGCAGATTCTGCCTTACTGCACTCCCGACCGAGGCTCGGTGTGTTTTACAGACGGGGACGCTGGTTTTTAACCTCTTGCCGCGCGGTTCCGACATGCCTGAGCCTCAACTCAACAGTCCTGCCCGCCTGGCTGTGAAGTGTCGCCGAACTGCTGCTCGTTTCGGGTTTCTTCACACGCCTGGGTGTTCAGTCAGAGCGCTGCAGTGTCAGGAAATAAGCTAAAATGTCTGCAGTGTTTACAGTAGACGCCAGAATTAAGCAACCGTGGATTTAACCGAGTTGACAGCGTGAAATCGTTTCCCGTTCAAACTGTCAAGTTCATCCGGTTCGTGTGAGCAGACGGGGCGCTGTGGGCGATAAACACGCAGCCCGAGCCTCAGCGCCCACAGCTCACTCAGAGACAGACAGGCGCTCGTTCAGGAACAGCCAGCGAGGCTCGTACACTGTTAGAAATAAAGGTTCTGCACAGGTACATTTCTTGTTCATCAAGGTACAAACAATGTAAATGTACCCTCAAAGGTACAACCGTAGTTTTAAGGTCCAAATGTGTACCTTAAATATATTTTTTTCCAGGTGAAAAGTACGTATTTGTACCTTTTCATAAACTAATGTTTTAAAACAGAACAATATAAAGCGTGGAGACGAGACGGGGTGTGTGGAGCCAGTACAACCTAGAAAATATAATTTAAATGGATTATGGTTCAGTTATATTCCCTGACTAAAGGTACTGAGATGTACCATTGAGGGTACCACCACAGTGACAAAAGGGGTACTGTGACAGTTTAGTACCTTTATTTTAGAGAGTGTATCGAAAGTACGACTGCAACCAGCTGAGGTACAATTTTAAATTCATTGGACTATAAATAATAAGTTAACACAACATAAAGCAATGGTTTTGTGGTGACCTATTAGAATTTCAATGAACTCAATTTTATTAACTTTTTTAAAAAAAAACATTCATTCATTCATTCATTGATTTGGTGTGGGCTTCAGTGCAGTATGTTGATAAATACTCTCAGAACAGTCTTTAGACTATTAATGTAAGTTAGTTACTTTGTTTTTGTCAAATATTTATATGCATTTATGATATACTGTATATTCTGTTCTCTATTCTTCTGCATCCACATCCACTGTCTCTCAGCAGTCATCACAGCATCTACTGTCTGTTTCAGTAAAGTTAACAAATGACTAATTATCATGACACATTGTATTTAATATTTTTATTTCTTACTTTTCTCTTTTTGTATAACTCTAATCCAATAGAGTTTCTATCCTGTATCCTTCTCCACTGTATTCTATCCTTTGACAATGGAGTAACTAAGATATGGGTCCTAGTACAAAACAATTAATGCTCCCCCATACGAAAATTACTTTAACTAATTGTTCTGCTCCGATGTCTGCCACTTCCCCCACTAGCATCTCATTTTTACCCAAATGTTTGCATTGGACAACATATTTAAGATTTTAGAGTTATAAATAATGAATATATATTATTGCAGGTTGTCAAAGCTCCTTTTGAGAATGATTACCATGTATGAGATGCATTATGAACAAGAAGGAGATAAGCAGTCATCAGGACTGTCTGTGTGGTGTTGATAGAAGCTAACTTCTGGTGAGGGATATTAAAAAAAATATATCTTTCTGTGATTAATGGGTGTACAGTTGGGTGAGTATCAATATGAGGGGCCCATAAGACCCCCAGTATTTATGCCCTGTCCACTGATATGTTCTAGTGAGATTTTGTCAACCCTCATCCTTCACCAAAATAGTTGTGTTTTCCCAACTCACTGAAAAACACTGATTGCTAATAGGTGATGAAGCAATGCCCCTCCTCATCCATGTCATACCCCTGTAACACATGCCATAAGTCGCTGACTGTGGGCTGTATCCCCCCATCCACTACCCAGAGGGATCCCTCTCTTGTTTCATTCATGGCCCGTGTCGCTGTGCTCTCCCTGGGCTGGATGAGTGACGTGAGGGACTGGACAGACCCTAGGGGCCCGTTGGGCCTGGAGGGAAGAAAGAGGAACACCCAGCTTATGGTCAGCCCTGGGTCACCACAACCTGCACCCTTGACTTGACCTCTGCTCTTTAAGACATATACATAATCACCTTGTCCGGTTTTATGTAAGTGTAACAAATTACAGATCCAGTCCAGCAAAACAGCTTTGATGGCTGGTTCACGATGAATCTGAGATAAAACTTTGACAATTGGAATTAGAATACCTGAGATCACCTTTCATTATAAGCATCATACATGGTGAGGAGGGTGTGTGTGTGTGTGTGTGTGGTATGCAGAACTGCAGAACTGTGTTTTTCCTAAGGAACAGAGTGACAAAGTTTGTCATACTGTTGGGAAGCACACTACAGACCTCCCTGTAGACCACCACCTGCCTTTTGTCCATGTTTTGTCTCTGGCTGAGCTGGAGAAGTGTGTCTCTGGGTGCAGCTGTCAAAAGATTCCCAACATTTTTAACCACTCTTCTCTACAGTCGTTTTCTTTCTTTCATGTTTGCACTTTCTGTCTTATTTAAAAATAATGTCATTTGTAGAAATCTATAGAAAAAAAAAACATAAAACAAGTTAATGGAAAAGGCATGTTATCGTAGTGTTTTTTGCAATAATATGCAGTCACTTAGGGCCACTGAGCCACAAGGGGCCCCACAAATATGTATTATCATTTATATATATATACATATATATGTATATATATATATATATATATATATATATATATATATATATATATATATATATATATGATGTTACATTTTTTCTGAAATTACCCTTCATGTTACTTATATAATCAAGTTATAAATACATAAATTCTTGCAATTAATTGTTGTCACTTAATTCAGGCAAGTTGTTTGTACCACCTAGTTGAAACTCAAGCACGCTTATTTTTGTGACATAAACAAACTGAACAAAACAAATTATAAGGGATTGTAGGGCTTTGTTTCCCAGAGTTCTTTTCGGTTTTGTTCTTTTCTGTTTATCAGCTCTTTTTATTCTTACTTTACCTTTAATAGGCTAATTTAAGTCCTTTGTTTTAATTTCATTTTATTATTGTATTCTACTTTATGTACTTTGTACTTTTTAAAATTGTTTTTAAAGATTTGTGTCTTTTATTGTTTTTCATTCTTAAGCACTTTGTCTTTATTTTTTCTTTTGACGTTCTTTCTCCTTTTATTTTTGTAAAGCACATTGAATTGGCTTTGTGTATGAAACGTGCTATAAAAATAAACTTGCCTTGCCTTCTGACATTGTTCACACATAAACCACATTTTCTCATTATGTATGTATGTGTATATGATGTTGCTTTGCATCTCTAGTAGTCAGTTTGTATGGCTGTCTGGTTGTTATTGCCATCTCAGCCATCTTTTTAAAGGCAGGCATAATAGTGCGTAACTCTGAAAACACATTTCTCTTCCATCTGATCTTGTGACTGTTACAATTGTACATTATCAAAATGCAAATTTCATTGGTATAAATATCAACAAAATCCATGAGAATAAGTTAAATAACGAATGCTGTAAGCTTAATCAAATTAGATGAGATGTGTATAAGTAATACTCAAGCTACTGCAACTCTATACTTTGATTGATAACTACTTACACTTTGTGAAATTTAAAGGTTTATGTATATTCAACACAATGAATAATTACACATTTTTCAAAATGTAATTTGTTTGGGGCAAAAACTTTGGTCAAATAGAGTAAACTAAATTTATCAGGGTTGTTCATATCTTTTCAAAAATTTCCATATGTGTTATTTGTAATACATGTGATCTTGGATATAACAAAACTCTTAATTGCTTCTCCCTTATAATTCCCCATCCCACCAACTACTTGAGTGTAAACACATAGTAGACTACTAAACTGGATTCAGGTGTTAATGAGCTAATTAGTTCAATTAAGTTATACCCAAAATAACTTTAGCTCAGCTCAGTGATACCTTCGTTACCGGACTAACTGCGCTGAACCAAAGTTAGCTTGCTAATCTTCGAATCTGTCGTTGCAGTATACTTGCTGACAAACTGTGTCTGTGAGTGACGGGGAGAGCCCCTCTCTTCACACCTGCTCTGGGCTGTAAAGATGGTGACCCTCCTTGACGCGCCATTATGACTACAGGCCCAGCACTGTGCTAGGACAGCCCCAGCTCTAGATTACATTACCAGTGGATTACACTCTGAACAATACTGAAAAGGACACGAGAACTTGGGCATGCTGCAATAGGGTGTGGGGATTACTGGCCCAAACCCAGATTTATGTTTATGCCATCCAGGAGCCAGTCGGAGGGGCTGTTTGACTTGTCTAACCTCTGCTCTCAAGGCTCTGCTGAGGCCTCTGCTGGCCATGTCTGCCCTGACTAAAGGAGCCACAGGATTGTCTTTACTTATTGATAGTCTGGAATGACTCATAGTGGCTAGACAACCCCTCTCTTAATGCTAGCCAAACATACCCCAGTTAGACAGAGAGGCTTAGCTGTTTCTCCCCAAGGGATATCGCTTTCTGTCCAATCAGATGATGCTGCTGTCAGCTTTTAATGAATTTAACCAGCTTCTTTTCGGGCTTGGCTAATAGGCTAAATGATTTTGATTAAGTATACCATTTGTGTTGGATTTGTACTGCCTCAGGCTTGGCAGTGATACAGAGCACTTCTAATTGTGACTGCACAGTCACAGATAGCGGTAAGGATGCCACCAAATAGTGGTAATTAAAATATTAGAAGGGACATTAAAGGAATAATGCTTGCCCCATTATCATCATTAAAATTAATTTATCTCTATCCAAATTCATCTCCCATCACTCACAGTTTAGCCATAGAGAAGAATGTTCCATATTTCTCATTGTCTAATGGAGGTGACTTGTAAAGTCTGTCTGTCTTCCTGTGGTTTATTATTTCATTTGTGGCGCTATTTCTGATGTTGTTGATCCGGGGCATCATGGAGTGTTTGTGTAAATTCTCAGTACGCTGGTCCCGGAATGTGGCCTTTTCCATTTTAATGCCCGTCTCTCATCATGAAGCTCAGAAAATAAAATTGAGCTCATGCACAGCAGTGGCCTTTGAATTCCTCCATTGCTTCTTTACAGTGGAAAGAATAGGTTGTAGTGTTCTGATAAGCACTCTAACAAGTCTAACACTAAAGAACCCTTAAAGGCACCTTCATTTCTAAGAGTGGGGTCCCGTACTAAAGTGGAGTGGAGTGGAGATTTTCAGCTGAAAATGATTTTTTAGGCTAAGAATAAGGTTAGTCTTTTTTTTGGACACCAGTGCCAGAGTTTTTAGATAGCTGAATGAAAAATTAGATGGCTAGATGAAAGAGATTAACAGATTAATTAATGAGGGATTAACTGTTGGCCC